TTAATCTGTTCCCCCTATCTCTGGCACAAAACGTTCTGTCTAAATACCTCACCTGAAAATCTCCCACAACCAAAATTCGTTCGGTACCTCCTTAACTTTCTGAGCAGCCTGAGGGGCCTGCGCTCCGCCGCTCCTCGCTGATTTTCGTTCCGAGTGAACTGCAGGCTCACCACAGCACTCGTCCTCCAACACGGCAAATGAATTTGCTGTCCTTAGGGCGTCTCTAGGTGGCCTTGTCAAGGTCTTCTTAAGACCCTTGTCCTTCACGACTCTCCACGATGAGGTCCCATCAACACTGGTCTCCTCCTTCGTTTCCTCCCGAAGTCTCAGCCGTCGTACCTCCTCCCGCAGGGAATCCATCTCTGCTCTCAGAGCTCCAACCAGACTCACCAAATCCTTCACTAATCCTTCCATTATTGCAATAATAATGTTACATCAATCGGAGCTCCAGCAAACACAACCTCTCACTGTGACTGCACCTGACTGACTCCTGGTCGTACCTAAGTAGTATACAAGGTCTTGAACGATTCCTTACACAAATTTCTGGAGACAGTTCTTATGTTGACCAGTCTAGCATATGCCGTTGATGATATCCTTTAGATGTGGGCCTCTGAGGACAGGTTCGGTGTGATATCAACCCCCAGATCTTTCTCTCTTTTTGACTCTTGCAGGATATAACCTCCCAGATGATACAGAAGGGTCTTCTGCTCCCTTCGCCTAATCTCATTACTTTACACTTTCCTGAGTTCAACTTTAGTAGCCATTTTCTAGACATTTCTACAAGTTTGTCCAGGTCGTCCTGTAGTCTCTATCTTCATCTGTCTTCATTCTTCTCATAATTTTTGCATCATCTGCAAACGTTGAGAGGAATGAGTCTATACATCTCTGGAAGGTCGTTTACATATATTTGAAACTTTTGGGTCCAAGTACAGAGCCCTGTAGAACCCCGCTGGTGACATCTCATCACTCTGATGTCTCCTCTCTCTCCCCCCCCCTCTCACAGTTACTCGCTGTTTCCTGTTGCTTAGATACTCCCTTATCCACTGGAGCACCTTACCTTTTACTCCTGCCTGTTGCTCCAACTTTTGTAACAGCCTTTTGTGAGGTACTGTGTTAAAGGCTTCCTGATAGTTCAAGAAAATGCAGTCTGCCCACCCTTCTCTTTCTTGCCTAATTTGTGTTGCTTGGTCATAGAATTCTATTAAACCTGTGAGGCACGATTTACCATCTCTGAACCCATGCTCGTGGTGTGTTACAAAGCTATTTCCCTCCAGATATTCTACGAGTCTTTTCCTCACGATCTTCTTCATCACCTTGCATGGTATACAAGTTAGGGAAATTGGCCTGTAGTTCAGCGCTTCTTACCTGTCACCCTTTTTGTATATTGAGACTCCATTAGTTGTTTTCCAGCTTTCCAGTAGGTCTCCTGTTTCCAGTGACCGCTTATATTTTCACTGGAAAATATAAACCACCCATTATATTGGGTGGTTTATAATTTTCCATTGGAGACTTTCGGCGCCATGGAGAGGTAAGGGACCTGTTTGCTTGGGTAACAGCTTCTCCTCCATATCAACCTACCCTGGCTTTTGCGCCCTGGAGAGGCCACTCCAGACCGACAACCAGAGAGCAACTCGTTGACCAGACCACATACTAGAAGGTGAAAAGACGACGACGTTTCGGTCCGTCCTGGACCATTCCGGGGAGGGTGAGATGTCACCTGGACCATATTTAAATCCCTAAACATGGTAAACATAAACTCACTCCACACATTCTCTTGTGTCAACTATTTTGATTGTTGCCGCAGGAGGCGGCTAGTTTATTGTGCATCCCATACTCATCCTGTGAGCGGTAGCGCAAAAAGCTTTACAGAGGGCACAAAAGGTCTTTATCAGACCTCATCTTAGATTATTACATAAACAATTTCATCTATCCTTCACACCTTATAGTTACAATGTCAGCTAGTTACAGAGAAAGTGCTATTTCAGGAGCTATATATTTACATTAGGTCATTTGGTAGGTCTTATCGCTAATACATAATAGTTTGATCAATGGAGATATGACAAAGTCATAGGGGAGCTTCTGTTTATTATTATTAGTCTTCACAATATACTACTTGTTTCTGAATCTCATATGTCGTTTATCTACTGGAAGCAAAATATGGATACAGTGCCAGGATTTCAGGTAATTTATCCATGGTAATAAGATAGGTTGCCATATCATACAGAGTGAGCTTAGATTTATCTCTAAATGACTCAATTTTACTACAGTCCAAGATATGGTGTTTGAGTGTGTGTCCCCGTCTTTGTCCACACACTTTACACTTTACTTCATCTAGATCCCTATACAAGCCGAACTGCCAGAGATACTTGTAGCCAAGTCTTATGCGAGATATGACAACATCTGTTAGTCTACTTACTTGCCCCATACACATGTTTTACTTCACACATTTCATTGTGATAAGCAATAGACCTGCTAGTTCCAGTTTGCACTGTTCTACTTTTTTCAAATTCATCCAGGAGTTCTCGTCTAATGACACTTTTAAGGGACCTATTTGATAACTCAAGATTCCGTTCAATTCTGTCTGTATTTACTGCAGCCTTAGCATGGGCGTCAACTTTGTCATGTTCCTGCATGCCAATGTGAGAAGGAGCCCACAACATTTTTATATGTACCCTCTTGCTAAGTATTCTTATATATCTACGTCTAGCATCCAAGACAAGCACGTTATTACTTAATTGCAAACTGTTTATTGCTCGTAGTGAGGGAAGGGTAGTCAACTACATTTACAAAACCCTGTTCTTAAATGCAAATCCTGCTCTGAAACTCTCCTTGGACAGATGTAATAGGACCCATTATCACCACACCAGAAATAAATATCTCTTTGATATCCTCAGAGTCAAACTTAATCTGTGTAAACACTCTATGCAAATAAAGTGACCTAGTCTATGGAACTCACTCCCTAATGAATTGAAAAGCTGTCAAACTTTTGCGTCATTCAAAAACAAAACTAAAAAGTACCTAATTTCATCTTCATAGTTTCCTGCCTTGTTGCTTTAAAATTGCACTGTATTTAGTGCTACCCAATCTCCCAATCTTCATGTGCCAAATTCAAACAACTTTACCATTGTGATCATTGCTGTCTTATTATATGTGCTATCAATTTGCTGTATGATGCCTATTAATCTTGTTTAAATTACCAATCAAGCTGTCAATGCAATCAATCAGAGCTACTAATGTGCCTTAATATACCAACTAATCTCTCTCATCTCATTTTTTTCTTGCAATGTATCTGTTATCATTTTTTAATTCTGCTAGAATTTACCTACTTAAAATTATCTGTTAAATTAAGGACCTGCCCGAAACGCTGCGCGTACTAGTGGCATTACAAGATTGTAAATACCATGCTATATATCCTCACAAACCCAATGTACCTTCTTGTAAATAAATAAATAAATAAATAAATAAATAAATTCTCAAGTCGATTGTGGAAAGACCATTCTCTGTCCTTTGAGAGACAATTGAATTGAGAATGGTCCAGGACGGACCGGAACGTCGTCGTCCCTTCACCTTCTAGAGAGTGGTCTGGTCAACATACTTCAGCCACGTTATTGTGACTCATCGTCTGCACAGAGAGCAACTCCATAGTCTCCTGAGACTGATGGATGCCTATTACTACTATACACCATAGAGAGTGGCACGCTCAGTGCCTCTGCACCTTCTTTTAGTATCTACGGTGAGATTCTGTCAGGCCCAACAGCCTTTGCCACATTCAACTCCAACAGATTCCTTTTGACCTCATCACTGGTGAGGTAAAATTTCTCCAAGGTTGCTTGGTTTGCCTCCTCATTTAGTGCAGGGACTTCTCCTTGTTCTATTGTGAAGACCTGGAATCTCTTGTTGAGTTCTTCACACACCTCCTTGTCATTCTCGGTTTATCTGTTCTCCCTTTTTCTCAATTTCATCATTTGTTTTTTCACTGCTATTTTCCTCCTGATGTGGCTGTGGAGCAGTTTTCGTTGGATTTTAGCGGCCTCCCCATTAGTGAAGGAAGCTGTTCCAAGGGCATTGCTTTTTGGGCAGGCTCATCCTCCTGTGGGATAGTAACCCCACAGTAGGTCTGTTCTGGTGGAATTATCTAATGAATAAACAGTGGACTACATACTGAAGCAAAAACCTTTACTCAGAAGCAGTGAAAATTATTACTATATGATTAGTGACAGATACATGACGAAAGATGAACAGCAAGAGCACAAGGCAAGAGGACGTGCACACATCCAGGACCTGATCCACCCTCCTTGCCCCACCAACCCTTATCAACTCACACCCTCCCCAAAACAGCTCTCCAATCATTTCCTCTTCCCCTTCCTCCCCCTTGCATCCAATCCCACCGGCTGTATCCCACCCTTCGATGTCCCTATCGTCCCAATCCACACCGTCCCCAATTCAGCCCTCCCCCCTCCTCCTTCTACTCCAAACAACTCCCTGCCCCTTTATGCCTCCATGATTCCAATCCCATCTGCTGATGTTGTTATTGTTTTAGATTTAGCTTCTCAGAACGAAATGTCCATGTAGCACGGGCAATGATTCCCATCTGCTACATCCCATCCTTTAATGTCTCTCTCCTCCCCTCTGCCCCCAAATCCCCTTCAACCCTCACCCCCCTCTACATCTCGTCTCCCGTATGACCCCCTCACCTCGCGACCCCCTCACCTCTTCACTGCCTTCATAACCCATTCTTTTGCCTCCACTACCATCATCGGCTCCCATTTCCCCCCTTCTTCCCTAAAACCCACCCCAATCCATGATTACCCCCCCCTGCCCCCCCCTGCCCCCCCTGCCCCCCTGCCCCCCCCCCAGCACACCCCCTGACTAGTACAAGCTCTCTCCCACTCCCACCCCCACATGCTTCATACTTTCATCTGCTCCTCACCCTCTCCCCCCTCTTCTGTTCCCCCCACCTCTAACTCTCAACTTTTATCTGACTCTCAGCTTTCCTTTACCTCTCAACCCGCCTATGTCTCTCAGCAATCTGTTCTTTTACAAAGGACATCGCTTTTCGCTCGTATGCATTACATAAGGGCAAACACCTTCGTACTAGGAAATGGAAGCGGCTCACGAATGTGACGTAATGTCCCATTTTTCTGTTTTTGGGTCCTCTGATAGGTTAGGAAAAGACACTTTAATTTTACCGTTTTCTTGACGTTGGGAAACCTTAGGAGGACAGGCTGCTTTCAGACATTCTCTACCTTTCAGATCCACTATACCCTTCCCCCCCCCTAGCTGCCCAGACCCCATCCACCACCTCTCCCCCTAGACCCCAAGAGAAGGGTCAAACTCTGGTAACAGAGTTTTCAAGAAGAGTCTCAAGGTTTGGTACACCACTGCTGAAAAGTTATGCAATAAAGCAGAAGAAATGAAAGAAAGAATTTGTGTGGCAGACCCTGATGTAATTGCAATAGTGGAAACTGATATAAATGATATGATCTCAGATGCAATCTTTCCAGGGGGGGATGCCAAGTAATAAATAAAGAAAGGACACAGAGACAGAGAAGGGAAGTGACACTCCTATTAAAGCAGAAATGGAAGTTTGAGGATCTAGAAAATCGGAGTTTTAATGGAAACACAAGCTCCATACTTGGGATTCTGATAGCAGATGGGAAAACAATTGTGATCTTAGTAATCTACAATCCTGCACCAAACAGTAAAAGGCCCAGACAGGAATAGGATGACAACAACAAGGCATGTTTAAATGAACAGCAGAGGTCATCAACAGTAGCTCACAGATTGAGAGCCTAACTGCTAGTCACGAGGACCTAAATCACAGAGAGATCGATTGGGAATCAAGGAATCCCTATGGTGGGAACGAAACGTAGGGAGCAAAATTAGTGAACGTTATGGAAGGGAATTTCCTAAAACAGCATATGAAGGAAGACACAAGGGAAAGAGGAGGGGATACACCGAGCCTATTAGACCTGATTTTCACCCAGAATAAGAAAGACATTGAGAATTTGGAACATGAAATACCACTAGGAGCCAGTGACCTTTGTGTACTAGTCTTTGATTACAAGATCGAACTTAAAATTGTGTCCACTGGACAAGTGTCTGGATGGGCATATTCAGAAAGTGACAAGGAAATCTCTGAGGTACTGAATCCCAGTTTCCATGGTGTGTTCACAACCGAGTCTGAGCAGCCCCGATTGTTTAAAGAAGAAATGACCCAAGACGAGAAATTAACAGATATAGAGGTGGCAGCAGTGAAGGTAATGAAACAGCTAACAACACTAGATGAAACTAAAGCAGTTGGACCAGACAACGTATGACCGAATAAAAACGGCAGTGCAGGCTCCTCAGCGTGTCCCTAGCAAGGATCTATAATGAGTCACTTACGAAGAGAGAGTTGCCCTGTTGCTGGAAGAAGGCAAATATTATACCAATTTTCAAGAAAGGAGATAAAGAAGAGGCACTTAACAACAGACCAATATTACTGACAAGCATCCCCTGTAAAGTACTTGAAAGAATAATCAGGTTAAGACTGCTTACACACTTAATGAAAATTAGGTAAGTTAACAAACACTAATCTGGGTTCAGAGAAGGGAGATCATGCCTAACAAACCTTCTGGAATTCTATGATAAAGTAACAAGGATAAGGCAGGACAGGGAAGGATCGGCAGACAACATATTTCTGGACAGTCAAAAAGCCTTTGATACATTTTTGCACAGGAGAGTGCTACTCAAACGTGAGAGGCAGACGGGAGTAAGAGGAAAAGCCCTAGCTTCGGCAAGGAACAACCTAACAAGAAAGAGCCAGAGAGTAACGGTAAGGGGTGAAAAGTCGGACTGGCGAACAGTAACGAGTGGAGTTTCTCAAGGATCGGTGCTGGGACCAGTTCTATTTCTAATTTATTTTATTTTTATTTATTTATTTATATATATACAAGAAGGTACATTGGGTTTGTGAGAATACATTGGATAGTACAGTATATACATTCTTGTAAAGCCACTAGTACGCACAGCGTTTCGGGCAGGTCCTTAATCTAGCAGATAATTTTAAGTAGGTAATTTCAATCAGAATTGATAAATGATAAAGATACATTACAAGAGAAAAATGAGATGAGAGAGATAAGCAAGTATATTAAAGCACATTGTTATATTAAAGCTCTGATTGATTACATTGACAGCTTGATTAGTAATTTAAACAAGGTTAATAGACACCATACAGCAGATTGACAGCACATATAAGACAGCAATGATCACAATGGTAAAGATGTTCAGATTGGGTACATAAAGATTGGGAGACTGGGTAGCAAAAGATACAGATAAACAAGATTTATAAACACCATACAGCAGATTGGCAGCACATATAAGAAAACAGCAATGATCACAATGGTAAAGATGTTCAAATTGTTAACATAAAGGTTGGGAGATTGGGTAGCAATTGATACAGTGCAATTTTAAGGCAAAAAGTGAAAAACTATGAAGATGAAATTAGGTACTTTTTAGTATTGATTTTGAATGATGTAAAAGTTGGACAGCTTTTCAGTTCAATAGGGAGTGAGTTTCATAAACTGGGTCCCTTTATTTGCATAGAGTGTTTACACAGATTAAGTTTAACTCTGGGGATATCAAAGAGATATTTATTTCTGGTGTGGTGATAATGGGTCCTATTACATCTGTCCAAGAAGAGTTTCAGACAAGGATTTGCATTTAAGAACAGGGTTTTGTAAATGTAGTTGACACAAGAGAATTTGTGGAGTGAGATTATGTTTAGCATATTTAGGGAGTTAAACAAGGGGGCTGTGTGTTGTCTGAAAGCAGAATTTGATATTATTCTGATAGCAGATTTTTGCTGGGTGATGATGGACTTGAGGTGGTTTGCAGTGGTTGAACCCCATGCACAGATACCATAGTTGAGATAGGGATAGATTAGTTCATAATATAGAGAGATGAGAGCAGAGTTAGGAACATAATATCTGATTTTGGAGAGTATACCAACTGTTTTAGAGACTTTCTTAGTTATGTGTTGTATGTGAGTGCTGAAGTTGAGTCTCTTGTCTAGGAATATGCCAAGAAACTTTCCATCATTTTTATTGCTAATGTTTACATTGTCAATCTGAAGCTGAATTGCATTTGTAGATTTGCTTCCAAATAGGATGTAGTAGGTCTTTTCTATGTTAAGTGTTAGTTTGTTGGTTGACATCCATAAGTGGACTTTTTTTTAGTTCATTATTAACAACACCATTTAGTGTATGTGGGTTGGGGTTGGAGCAGATGAGGGTAGTATCATCAGCAAACAAAATAGGTTTCAGAATGTTAGAGACATTAGGCGGATCATTAATGTCTATAAGAAAAAGAAGAGGTCCCAAGATGCTGCCCTGTGGCACTCCAACAGTTATTGGTAGAATGGGAGAGATTATATTATTGATGGCTACACATTGGTGTCTATCACTAAGATAGGATTGGATATAGTCCAGTGCATGGCCTCGGATTCCATAATGATGTAGTTTACTTCTTACTTTACATAATGATGTAGTTTACTTTACTGTAGTGATGTAATATACGTAAACTACATGACTACAGGAGTCGAGTCCTATATGTTGATGTTTGCAGTTGACGCAAAATTAGATGAGAAAATATATGACAGATGAGGATTGTAGGATCCTCCAAGAGGACTTGAACAGGTTACAGATGGTCAGAGAAATAGTTACCAGAGTTCAATACTAGCAAATGTAAAGTTATGGAAATGGGATGAGGTGACAAGAGAATAAAAGGACAGTACGCAATGATGGAAACTACTTAGCTGTGATGATTCCACAAAGAGACCTGGGAGTAGACGTAACACCTAATCCAACTCCTGAGATACATATAAATAGTATAACAAAAGCAGCGTACTTTGCACTGGCAAAAGTTAGAACACCATTCAGAAACTTAAATAAGGAGGCATTTAGGGTGCCTTACACTGCCTATGCGAGACCACTCTTAGAGTATGCCGCCCCATCTTGGAGCTTCTACCTGAAGAAACATACATAAGGAAACTGGAAAAGATTCAAATGTTTGTAATGAGGCTCTCCCAGAGTTCTGAGGGATGTGATATGAAGAGCAACTGAAGAAACTGAACCTAACGACGCTAGAAAAAGGAGGGAGCGAGGAGATACGATAGCAACATACAAAATACTTATGGGGTGTGATGATGTTAACGCCATCTGTTGAGTGCACTTGACCCTATTTTCTGTTCCCCTGGTGGATTACTCTGATCTTACTGAAACCTGTGTAGTTTCCTTCATAGTATACCATTTTTATTTCTCAGAAGTGATGTGGAGGGTACCCTGGACGACAGGAATCGGTGCACCCACGACAGTCCTGAACTGAAGACTTGTTCCAGCCGGAACAAGTGGGCCAAGTGGAATTGTCTGTGACAACCCGGGAAATATTGGTGATTGAACCGAAGTATCCTGAGACGGCCGAGTTGGGTTACTAGCGGGAATTAACATCCGTCTGTCTTCTAAGTTAAGGCTTGTTATAGGTAAAGCCTTTAGGGGAAGCCAGCCAGCGTGTTGCTGGAGAGTAGAAGTGGTGTTTTGACACTGACAGTACTGTGGAGGACTGGCCCATGATTTGCTGAGAAGGTGGACTCGCCATCGTGAGTACCCGAGAAGAAAGGCTCAGGGAAGGTACCTTGAGTTTTGTACGATAGAAGATAGAGGTGGACTCGTCGGGATAGAAGATTGTAAAAGTTCTTTTGTAGTGTCCTTCTTCTTGAAGTTATCTTGAGATGATTTCGGGGCTTTAGTGTCCCCGCGGCCCGGTCCTCGACCAGGCCTCCACCCCCAGGAAGCAGCCCGTGACAGCTGACTACCTCCCAGGTACCTATTTACTGCTAGGTAACAGGGGCATTTAGGGTGAAAGAAACTTTGCCCATTTGTTTCTGTCTCGTGCGGGAATCGAACCCGCGCCACAGAATTACGAGTCCTGCGCGCTATCCACCAGGCTACGAGGCCCCTACCTGTGTGAAAGTAACACCTGCGGAGCTATGTGATGTATATATGTATATAC